CTGCCATCAAGGGTTGAATTGCAAGCAAATGGCAAAGAAAAGGATTGATCGCTTGGCACACAACCCGTGATGTTGTCTGAAGCTGAATGGAAGTTTGCAGGACATGAGCAGGTTGGGTTGCTGTATGTAGCATCATTAGTACATAGTCCAACCCTGCCACAGATAAACGGTATTTGACAACCATCAACTGGCCCCACAAATTCCTGTTTCCAGCCATCAGCAGAAAAGGTAGTAACTGTAAATTGGCCAAATGAAGTCAGCTTGGCTATTCGGATGTTGGATGATGTTGGAGGCAGGGGAACCTGAATTACAATTAGGGAATCATTCTGACCGAACAGGTAAAGACCTGTTCTGTTTATCGCCATATATTCCACTGCATAATTCGAGTTCACAAATGCTATGACTTGCATCGACAATTTCCAATATGTCTGTTCATGCCACTGCATTACTGCATCAGATCCGGTGATAATGAGTCTATAATCCCCAGTTGATAAGTTATCAGCGGATAGAGCACTTGACAGAAAAGACCCAGCTGGTAGATGTTGTCCAATTACGAGTGTGTCTGTTGGATGATGGAAACTCTCCCATAGAGAAGCATTAAATTGATCGAGTAAAACAAGATTTCCCATCTCAGTCAACAGTAATGCATGTACTGATGACTGCAATGGTGGCGTGGACCATCTGGAATTGCCATTTTGATCAGCAATGGTAATTCCTTTGACAGTAAGATTCATTTTACCAGAACTTGAGATGGGTGCATCGTGATTAGCAGACCAAATAATGGTGTTTGATGCCACATGGATGACACACAAGTAAAAGTTCATCTGTTGAGCCCCAGGATTGAAGATAGAAGCTTTAAACATTCCGCTGCGAGAGGATAAGAAGGTGCCATGGTTATCAATGAATTGAAAGTAGGAAGCAGTGAAATCCGGATGTATGAACTCCAAGAAAGAAATACCAGAAATGGGAGTAAGGAACAAGAAACTTGTGAAGAAGAAGAGGAAGGATCCCATAGAGGTTTGACAGAAAGAATAACAGAAAAGAGAAAGTACAAGTTTTGATATGAGGGAGATGAATGAGGATTGAATTGGTCTGCTCTGGTTTTCTCCATTTCTTCTCTTCAATTCTGGTTGTGAGTTTAGCGTTGACCATTGAAACTGTCTCTCTCTCTCTCCTAGTAGGTGTGCAGACAATCTTTTAATTATTGCTAACATCAGCTGGGAACGTAAGATATGAAATGAAATTCCAGCATTGGTCATACCCAAGGAAGTGTTTATCCAAGACAAGAAGCCCCAAATTCTCTCCCTACATTTTTTTTCTCACTTGAAAAATCAAAACCTACAACATAACCAACTATTTTATGTGATATATGTCCATCAAGGAAGAAGATTACCATCCTAAAAAATAAATGTTTGATACCATTTTTGCCTGCCGAAGTTTTATTTTAATAAATGATTTCTCAAGTAACAATAGAATCGGTAGTTCTTACGAGTTATTCATAAAGAATTCATTCAACCAACATTAATCAAACTTTGTAAACCACGTTCAAGCACCAACGACATTAAACAAACATTTAAAAATAAACAATCACAAGATACTAATCATACTTTTTAAATAATAAAATTAAGCAATTTTGACTGAGAGTAAAATCAACAAACACATTGTCTGCACGAAAATAACACCCAACAACCAACATTCAATTCACCTGCTGGGT